AGTCACGTACCTGCATACAGCTGGGCCTTCCTCCAGGCTGTAAAAGAACATATTCTCCTGAGAACTCAATCAGAACAGCCCCACTAAAGCAGTCTACTAACCTGTCCCTCCCTCCATTCTAAAGGTAAGAAGAGAAGACTCTAAGGAGCTGGCTCCTGCAAGGTGCAGAGGCAGCAGAGGATTGTGGGAAATTCCCTGCATCACGAATGGGAAAGATGGCATTATAGGCTAACTTCCCCCACTGATCTGAAGCTGTGTGGCTTTTTAGCTGTCAAATATCTGCCTCTACTTCAAATAACAAAATGTGAAATAATAATAATATAATTAATAATAAAATAATAATAAATCTATAATCATTCAGCTTCACTCTTTTTTTTTTTTTTTTGTTTTTGTTTTTTCGAGACAGGGTTTCTCTGTGTAGCTTTGAATCCTGTCCTGGAACTCACTCTGTAGTCCAGGCTGGCCTCGAACTCTCAGAGATCTGCCTGCCTCTGCCTCCCAAGTGCTGGGATTAAAGGTGTGCACCACCACTGGCCAGCTCAGCTTCACTCTTAAAGCCTTGCAATGTGGGCAAATAAATCTTAGAGAATAAAAAAAAGTATTCCATGATTGTCAGAAACCATTACAATATCAGCACTTTTTGTGGAGGTATATTTGGAGATGTGCTGAAAAAGGAGAATGTGTATAAAACATAGACAGGAAGTGAGTTCTTGTTTGGAGCACCCAGTGTTCCTCATGTAACATACCTCTAAAGCCAGGCACCACTATGCCAAGAGCACCCAGTTTACCATTCCCTCCCACCGAGGTCAGCAGCCCCAGCCTCTGCCCATCACTTTGATCCACACCTCTGAGATAAGAAAGCAGACTCCCTGGGAGTTGACTGTGGAATGGGTGGAGGTCATACTCCAGGATCTGTGACCTCATTCGCTCATAAACACCTTGTGCTGGTTAGGTTTTTGTCCATTTGACACAAGGTGGAGTCATCTCAGAGGAGGGAGCCTCAATGGAGAAAATGCCCCCATCAGAACGGCAGTAAACAAGGCTGTGGGGCATTTTCTTGGTTGATGATTATTGTAGGAGGGGCCAGCCCACTGTGGCCAGTGCCACCCTGGACAGGTGGTCCTGCAGTGTATCAGCAAGCAGGCTGAACAAGCCATTGGAGGCAAGCAAGTAAGCCTTTCTCTGTGGTCTCTGCTTCAGTTCCTGCTCCAGGTTCCTGCCTTGAGTTCCCGCCCTGGCTATCCTCAGTGATGGACTGTGGTGTGAAAATGTGTAACATAAATTAACCCTTCTCTCCTGAAGTTCCATTTAGTCATGATGTTTTATCACAACAAGAGAAACCTAATTAAGACGTCTTCTTTGATGAAATTTAAGTAATGTGGTTTGGCTCTGAGGTGCAGACAATAGTCTAGAGCTAACGAAGCTGAAAAAAATCAACAATACGGTGGACAGAAACTGGTGGGAATAAGAACCAGGGTACCGGACACTGAACCTTCCTCTTATGTCTCCCAAAGGGGTTCCCATTCTGTCTAGAATCAAGGAAAGGGCACACCTGGCCACATGTGCCACAAGGAACCATGGGACACTGGGACAGTCACTCACCAGCCCTGTAAGCTGCCTTCCTCCGATCTGAAAAACAACACACAGGAGTCAAGTGAGCTACTGGGCACTGAGGGGACACCCAGGGCTCAGGAGGGAAAGCATGGCTCACCAAGCTCTTCCTGGAGTGTGCCTGAAAAACAGGGAGAAGACAGGGTCTGTGCACTGGACAGAAAAACAGGAAACACAATTGTTTCCTAGAAGTCTAAACTGCAGGCCACCTGACCCCAGCACTTCAGCCATCCTCTCTGGGCTTCCTTGGCCACCGATTCTGATCCCAGAGCACTGCATCTTCCCGGGACTCTGGCCCAGTCCTGGGCTGCTGTCATGACTTACTTGTGGTCTTCAGCGCAGCCTCCTTTTTCTTCTGGAATGGCTCCTGCTCACGCCGCAGATTCTCCCATTCCTGCCGCAACTGCAGCTTTGATGAATGTTCTCTTCTGAACAAACAGCATGACCCTAAGACCAGAAGTCCCATCATGGTCACACTCACGGCAAAAGCTGGCATCCAGGGAGAAGCCTGAGGGAAGAAGGGCTCTGTGGCCCAGGCAGAGAGCCAGTGAGTAGCACACCTGAGAACAGTCAGCCCAGCACACTCCAGGAAGGCCATCCACTTCCCAAGCTCTGTAGGAGTGAGGAACAGCCCTCACCTGGGATAAACATGGCCATGGCCTTCTCCTGGCCCAAGATGGGATTGAAGGTGGAACAGGTCACATTCCCCAAAGAGCTGTCTCTCACCACCAACGTGGTCTTCATGCTGAACAGCCCCTCATCATCCTCAATGTGGTTCTCAGAGGATGCTGGGAGCCTCTCCCCTCTGGAGTCTCTCCACTGCACCTGGGGCTTCGGGTGCCACCCTGAAGTCATGCACACCACACACACACCACCGTCTTCTGGACCTTTGATGTGTACTTCAGGGACAGAGCCCATCACTGCAGGAGGACACATGTGAAGACCCCAGAAGACACTTTGGGCTCAGGCACCCCAGGATCACCTATGCATCTCATAGGAACCTCTCATGGAAACGTAGGAATTGAACAGGAAAAGCACACCTGTTTTGGTACTAGGTTGAGCCCCTGTTGCCCAACAGAAGAAAGATAACAGGGTCTACTATGGGGGACAAAGCACAGGCCACTCTTTGTTCAAAGACAAGATCCAGAGGAAACGGAAGAGGGTTGAACTGGGGTCCTGATATAGAAACCATCATCCATCTCTCCGTTAGCCACACACCTGTGACCCCTGGGATAGCAGGCCCACACCCAGCTCCCGGCTAGGAAAAACTAAACCCTGAGGGCCTTTCTTACTCTACTCACTCATTTATCATGAGCATTGATCATCCTTTAACATTGACTTCTCATTGGGGCATTGATCATCATTTAACATTGACTTCTCATTGGGGCACTCTGATTGTTCTGCCTATTCCTCTAAAATATGAATTTCCATAGCTGGTATTTTATATGACACTGGCAGTGTCTCTGGTCCCCAGAACAAGGACCAGCACATTTTGCATTAATGGATGTAGGAATGAGTCACTGTTCCTCATATAAAAATGGAAGATCAAAAGTAAATAAATGTAAAAATGATGGACCAGAGCCATATATGGTGGAGTGTGCCTGTGATCCCAGCACTTAGGAGGAAGCAACAAGATCCGACATTCATGGTCACCCTCCACTACAAATCTAGATCAAGGACAGCCTGCTCTACATGAGACCTCCCCTCATTCAATAAATTAAGGAGCTGAGATACATGATCCCTTAGTTTCCTCCCACACACAATTCACCCAACATCTTTAGAACAGGGATCAGTTCACCAACCTGCCACCCTCAGTTCCAAGATGGCCTCTTCATAGAAGAGACCACGTTTGAAGAAGCAGACATATATTCCACTGTCTGAAACCTGGACATTTCTGATGCGCACAGCAGCCTTGCCTTGGTGGAACTGGTCCTTCACCAGCCAGGTCCGTCCCGAATACTCGGCCAGCTGCTCTTCCTTCTTCTCTTCTTGGTCCCGATAAACAAATACTGCCTCTGAGAATCTGGAGCGGAACCACCTCAACTCCTCCATGTTCTCCACACTCATGACTGGAAACAGGGAGCAGGGAAGTATGGCTTCCCCACCTGGAGCAGCCACAATGGGCTCTGAGGGACCAAACACCAGGAACTCCTCTGTGGACACAGATGTACCAGTGAGGGGACTGAAGAGACATGGGTCAAAGCCACATCTGTGTTCTACTCGAAGCTCAGTCCTGACTATACAATTCTCAACAGGAGTCAGCTAGGCCACACATGGCTGCTCCCAACTCAGGACCTCCTACACTCAGCTCCTGTTTCTCAATCCCTGACTCACTCTGCTTCAGCCAACAGTGGCCTCTCCACCTCCTCACACCCCAGGCACACAGCCAGCTCCAAAGCTATGTCCACAGGTACTCACTCATTCAGGGTAGTTCAGGCTGGCTAAGGACTCACAATATTCTAGTATCATCCTCTTTTTTTTTTAAAGATTTATTTATTTATCATATATACAGTGTTCTGTCTGCATGTTTGCCTGCACGCCAGAAGAGGGCACCAGATCTCATTACAAATGGTTGTGAGCCGCCATGTGGTTGCTGGGAATTGAACTCAGGACTTCTGGAAGAGCAGCCAGTGCTCTTAACCTCTGAGCCATCTCTCCAGCCCTAGTATCATCCTCTTGAATGCTGATGTAGACATGCTCAGCCTCGACTTTTATTACTATTCACTATAAAGGGAAAACTATGAAAATCCTGGATCCCAGATGTAAATGAGTTTCCTACACATCTGAACAGCCGAGCTCCTCATAGATCCTATTCACTGGAGGGAGACATGGGAAGGGAGATCAGGACGCACTCACTTGTGGACACCCAGGTAAGCAGCTGGGCAAGGACAAACAGGCAGGTGAAATGGCGGAGCAGAGCATGCTTGTAGCAATTTTCCATTGAGCTGGGGAGAAAAACAGGTATGATAGAACAAGACCCTTGGGCAGCAGCCAGTAGGTAGGTTTCACCCAGAGCTTGGATATCTCAGCAAGGAGAGAATCATCAGGGCTGGTGTCAGCCCCACAAGACAAAACACATCAATACTATCGGGGTGAAGAACCCCCACACCCCAACACAGATAAAACTCCATGCCCGGGTTCCTCTCAGCCCTTCTGAAGACTGAGGAACTAGGACAGTCAAGTCATCGAAAAGGAAGCTCTTTCTTTCCTTCCCACCCATCCCCATCCACAGTGCAGCCAAACTCTACCCTGCCATTCTCAGCACCTTGAGGAACTCAGAGTAGACACCATCACCTCAGCTCTCCATTATCCACATACTGCATGTGACCCCAAGACAAAAAGCCTCTGTCCAGCCCATCCCTCAAAACAGCATGGCTGCCACCTGTGCCTCTACCCTTCCATAATTGGGACCAGGGATCATCTGGGCAGCTTCAGAGACAGACAGGTCTCCCAGAAGGCTGTGGTGCCAATCACAAGTAACTTGTCCGAGCTTTTGGTTGTGGAGTTTGTCCACACTTCAGTCCCAGCCCAGTCCCTCCATGGTTCCAGGCCATCACCCTACACTCAGCAGGTCACACACACACACACACACACACACACACACACACGTCCACAGACAGCTTTGTCCTCATAGTCTCTGTCATTGATAAAGACCTTGCATGGTAAAGACAGGCTTGAAAAGAACATAAACAAACCCTAGTCTGCCCCAACCACCTGCTGTCTAGAAGGGTGGGGGAAGGGGAAGCCTAAGGTCCTGAGAAGGACAAACTCAGAGAGCTGTGAGCTGTCTCCAGGCTCAGCCACCAGGGATGTGACCTGCAGGGACTCACTGAACACAATCTCAGCTCTGGTTCTTTCCTCAGGCTCAAGGGTGTCTTCAATGTCAACCTACCTGCTTCTCTTTGCTCCCAGCTCTGGAAGACTGTGACTTCATGGGGGACAGCTCAAGGTCTAAGGGACCCAGAAGAAATCTTCCTCCCAGAGCTCAGCTGCTCCAAGATGCACTCACAGCTCTAAGTTCGGCTCTCCCCAATGCCAGGCTCTGGTTTCCACATCTCCGACAGGTTCGTGGTGTCTAGGCAGCAGACAGGAAGCAGAGGCTGGCACAGCCATCATGGCCTCTACAGAGACTTTGACACTGCCTGCTCGGGCAGAGCCCTCCCAGTCCACAGAGCAATTGGAGCTTCAGCCATCAAAACTGAAAGCTAAGGTAATGTGAACTGGGTGTGTTTCCCTCTGCATGTGTCTTTCTCTATCAGGAAGAGGGGAAAGTCCACCTCCCACCCCATCTCTCCCCAGGCCACCCCTACCTACCCCTGTCCCCTCCAACCCTGCCTGCTGGGGAGATCCTGAGGTCTACCCATGTTATGGAAATGTCATGAGGTGACAGGAAGTGGACAAGGACACCTCACTGAGTCTCTGTTCAGCATCAGGAGCTGGGCTGGACTCACCGGTCATGTCAACTCCTGTCACAACTGCAAGTGGAGGTGATGTCATGAGCCCTGCTCCAGCTCCAGTAACTAAGAGGAGGAGAGGTAGGTCTTCCAGAACCCTGTCTTCCCTGTCCCCACCCCCATCCCACCTCATCCCCAGCCCTGCCCAACCCCCACTCCAGGCATCACAGACTCAGCAGGAGCCTGCAAGGGACCTTGGACCCCAGGAGCCTTGATATTACAAACTTATCTCCTCCTGGGTCCTCAGGCTATGACTTCCACATGGGGTGGGGGGATGGGGTGGAAGGCAATGACAGGAGCAGATCAGATAGCTGAGAGGACACTGAGGGGCCTGACTGGGGTGTCCACTGTGTCCTCTCCCAGGGATTGGGGTCACAGCCAGCTGCACTGACAATAAGCACTAGTACAGAGGCCACAGGACTGTGCTTGTGACTCAGGACCCTGACACTGTGTGGAGTGGGACAAGCCTGCCATCTCAGCACTCAGGAGGTGGAGGCAGGATGACCAGGAACTCAAGGCCATCCTCAGCTACATAGAGTTCAAAGTCAGCCTGAACTTTGTGACCCCTGTCTGAAAGGTCGGGGGCTGAGTGAGGAGGAACACACCTTAAATATAAGAAAGGCTGCCCAGATGGATCTGTCTGTTTTTGTACAGCCTGGGCTAAATATTGAGTTCCAGGCCAGCTCTGTAGGAGAGAGAGAGAGAGAGAGAGAGAGAGAGAGAGAGAGAGAGAGAGAGAGAGAGAACAACAAAAGAGTGGGTGAGAGTGTGATTAAGTAGACTATAAAAGAATTGGCCACCAAGCCTGACAACCTGAGTTTCATCATTGACTCCACATAAAGGTAGAAGGACAGAACTGACTCCTCCACCTCCCTGTCACTCCATGTTTGAGCCATGACATGGACACACTGGTCCTCATTTGCCTACTCACACCCATGCACGCGCGCGCGCGCGCGCGCGCGCGCGCGCGCGCGCACACACACACACACACACACACACACACACTATTAGATAAAGAATGTTTTGAATGTTTGTTTTCATTCTGTGTGTATGCACATTTTCCTGTGTTCATGCA